CGCTTTAACGTAACGCGCGTAGGGCGGAGCAGGGGAATGGAGCACGCAGGTGGATCGTGTGACTGATTTGCAGGATAGATCAGAACTTCCTGTTGTTTTTATCTGGAAGTCGTGTTTTTCTTTGAATATGTGAGTATATTTCAGTAAATTGTATCTAACGTTTTCTGGAGGTATGCACTATGGTTTCCTTTCTGTTCCTTTTATGAGATATTTTATATATATATATATTGTGGTATTGTGTGGCAATCCCACGGTAGAACTGGGGGTTGTAGTCACCCAGGACTCTCAGCCAGAGATGCTGAGCGGTTCCAGGAGCCAAGTTCTGGGAAAGAGCTGACTTGGCGGCTCTTCCCAGGATTTCTGGATTTGGCATGGGATCCTGGAACTGGGAGATTTCTAAGAGAATTGGGAGGGATGAGATCTCCATTCCTGGGTCCATCACTTAGTAGTGGCCAGCACCTAATTGCACACCTGTGCACAGCCCTTATAGAAAGGGTGCTGGCTAAAGGTGCCCATACACTGCACGATTATCGTACGATAATCGTATGCGATCGGGTTTTCGTAACTCACTGGAACTAAGGGGCCAAATCCAACCCCTGAAAAACAACCTGACACCATAATCCCCCCTCCACCAAACTTTACACTTGGCACAATGCAGTCAGGCAAGTACCATTCTCCTGGCAACCCTCAAACCCAGACACGTCCATCGGATTGCCAGACAGAGAAGTGTGATTGGTCACTCCAGAGAACACGTCTCCACTTCTCTAGAGTCCAGTAGCGGCGTGCTTTACACCACGGCATCCCACGCTTTGCATTGCACTTGGTGATGTGAGGCTTGGATGCAGCTGCTCGGCCATGGAAACCCATTCCATGAAGCTCTCTACGCACTGTTGTTGTGCCAATCTGAAGGCCACACCAAGTTTGGAGGTCAGTAGCTATTGACTCTGCAGACAGTTGGAGACTTCTGCGCACTGTGCGCTTCAGCATGCGCTGACCCCGCTCTGTCATTTTACGTGGCCTACCACTTCCTGGCTGAGTTGCTGTTGTTCCCAGTTGCTTCCACTTTGTTATAATCCCAGTAACAGGTGACCGCGGAATATTTAGTAGCAAGGAAATTTCACGGAACACCTGAATCCAATGATTTGGAGGGGTGCCAATACTTTTGGCAATATAGTGTGTGTGTGTGTATGTATACAGGGGAAACTCGAATAATTAGAATATTTAGAATATCGTGCAAAAGTAATTGCAGTAAGTGCTGCAAAAGGGGCCCAAACCAAGTACTGAGTACACATGCATGCTTGTACTTTTCAGAGGTCCGATATTGTTCTATGTACAATCCTTGTTTTATTAATTGCATTTAATATTCTCATTTTCTGAGGTTGTGGATTTGGGGTTCTTGAGGGTCAGTATGGTGTTCTATTGTTCTTCTATGAATGCCATCTGACAGCCTGCTCCCTGCTTTTTGGACCGAGAACCCCAGAGCCTGGACCTTCCTATTTTGACCCTGCTAAACAGCAAGTATACCTTCTCTGTGACTGAAACAGAGAGACTACTGCAGCTCGCCAGAGATCTGCAGTATTTATACTGGCTTGCAAGGATTTCCTATTCTTGCAGTGGATTGGACTCTCACTCTAACCCTAGGGGTGAAACATATGAACTGTGATCACTATAGTTTTCCTATGGAAGTGTAACCAGTGTATGATAGGAATACTCTGAGAACTTAGAGTGCTGAAAATTCAACTCTGCTGACTTATGATTTATGCTATTTAACCGTTGTACCTTAAATTGCCATTACTTGAACTGTGAATACCCCTTGTTCACCGCGGCACATGATGGTAGGGTTCCAAACTCTCCGCTTATGACTTGAGAGTGACGCCTGGAACCCGACCCTGACGCCGTACCCTCCGCCACAACCATACCTGCTTATAGCCTCCGCAGCTGTGATTCTTAATATTGCCACGGCATTACACAATGAGTCTCTCTCATATATTAGTTTCACCTTTTAAGTTGCATTAGTGAAATAAATTAACTTTTGCACGATATTCTAATTATTCGAGTTTCACCTGTATATATATATGAAGAGGATCGTTAGTGTGCCTGAACCACGATAAGTAAGAGAAGGGAGCCCGTTTGACTGGTCAATGGATGAGCAGTTCATCCACCTCCTGTAGGGTGGAGATTTGAACACATGTATGTGGGGCACTGATTTGTTTTAGTTACCTCTATGAATAAGCCAAGGAGTGAAATGCGTAAGGGTTTTAGTGGTCGGCGGTTTGCATTGCTGGTGTATATTTGCATATTTATTGTATTTGCTGGCGTATAAGACTACTTTTTATACTTAAAAACATCCCCCGAAAATCGGGGGTCGTCTTATACGCGGGGTATACAATGTATACCTTTCGTTCGTTTAGGCCCACCTGATAACCCAAACAGCCCAACTAAGAGTGACCCTGCAGAGCCCACCATAGACTCTCCATGGTGGGTTCTGCAAGGTCTCAGGTGGGTGGTCAAGCCCTCTTAACCGCTGCACATGTGAATAGTGGCACATTCCTCCTCACAGCCGCCAGTGCCAGCCAGCAGAATGAGATGCCATAGCGACCCGCATGCCATCAGGGGGTTGTCTTGGCCAGGCCCCCACGTGCCCCGGGCCCCAGTGCGGCCGCCTGGGTCGCTATGGTGATTGTTACGCCACTGTCTACAGTAACACTATTTATTATTATTTTAATTTTTTTATTCAAAGTCCGTTTTATTAAAACCAAACTTAGGAACAAAAATCCTTAAATACAAACAGACATAAGGAAACAATCAAATACATCATACATAAAAGTGCCAATTGGCATCTTAGAGGAGGTGCACTGGGTAACCAGTCGGCCTTCATGCATTTTAGATCCACATAGTCCAACCTGTGTCAGTTATAGCTAAGAAGAAAGTGAACCAATTGGCAACTAAAAATTTAATTGGTCACAACCAGGCCTAAAAATGTGTACAATTTGTAGGTGCTTTATTTCAGCTTTAAGATATGCATTGGAAGGGTCCCATTGGGGAGATTCACCCTTTCTATTTGCCCTGGTGACCACTGTTCCCGAGACAGAATGTGATGAGAAATCCAAAATTTTAGAGTTGTCTCCAGAACAGGAGGTGAGGAGAAATCATCCAATGGGGACAGCTAAGATGGTGATTCCATTCACTTTGGAGGTACAGTAATACCTTGGTTTACAAGTAACTTGGTTTGAGAGCGTTTTGCAAGACAAGCAAACATTTCTGAAAAATGTTGCCTTGATATACAAGCAAATGTCTTGGAATAAGAGCAAAATTTTGTAGAAAAGCGCCACCGAATGAGGCTGTAGCAGTGCGAGCGATTAATCTGTTTAACGACAATGCAATGTCACATTGAATAGATTCCTTGTTAAGGTTTCACGAAATGAAAAATATTCCATTGAGTCAAGAGATAGCAGTGATTCCGTTAGTGACAGTGAAAGTCGTCCTACACAATAATCCTCCTCTCTCTCGCCCCCCTCACACCAGCCACGAAGGTACCGGTAATTGGTTTATTTTTCTTTATATTTTATACAGTATTATATTACAGTACAGTATTGTAATCATTGTTATATGAATATTTTTGTGTTGTGGAACGAATCATCTGAGTTTCCATTATTTCCTATGGGGAAATTCGCTTTGATATACAAGCGCTTTGGATTACAAGCATGCTTCCGGAACGAATTATGCTCTTAAACCAAGGTATTACTGTAAGTCCTCTCCTTTGGTGTTGCGCCTCCAGGACAGGAAGTGAAGGAAAATCTCCCTAGTCTGACATTTTTTTAAAAAGTACTTGCCAATACCAATTATCGGTACTTTTTTTTTTTAGTGTCATGTGACAGTTTTTCTAAAACAATACAGACTAATTCTTTTAGAACAGTGGCTGTGACCGCTGCAACCCTGGTACTTCTGCCACTGACTTCAAGCTGCAGGGGGGACTACAAATCTCAGCAATACATATACACTGAGTGGCCAGATTATTATGACCACCTGACGTTTGTAGACTAATTAGCTATAATTTGGCGCTGAAGTTGCTAGAGGGCCAGACCATTATAAATAGGGAAGCAGGTTGGTTACCACGACAGTAGAAGTGATTTGTTTCTGAAGATACGGGGAAACAACGCGATTTAACAGCCTTTGAACGCGGGATGAATGTTGGCGCTCGGAGCCATGGAGCGAGTATCAGCAAAACAGCAGAATTCGTTAAATGTTCAAGAGCAGCTGTTGTTAAAGTGTTTAAAGACTGGACTGTCAGCCGAAAATCTGGGTCTGAGCGTGCGAATTGTGGCCGTCAGCGACTAGTCAATGTTAGGGCAGAACGGGGGAGGGGCAAGACTGGTACAAGACAACAGAAGGGCAACAGTGTCGTGTCAGATTCCTCGCATTACCTTTCATCATCTCGTGGAGTCACGAGGCGGCCCAACTAAGTCATCTCGTGGAGTCATCTCGTGGCCCAACGAAGTACTGATGGGGTGGTCATAATAATCTGGCCACTCAGTGTATATAGCAATGCAGAATACCACCAGCTACAGTATAGAGGACTACCAATCCCAGCAATACATTATACAGCAATGCAGAATAATAGTATATGAATTTGCTACAAACTCTGCCCCAGCAATCATGGTACCTAAGGCAGCAGCTTCTGGTAGTATCGTTTTTTGGTATCGGGGCATTTTCACAACTACAAGTGCTCGTGAAAATGCCCAGTATCAGCAGCGATACTGACGCTGGTATCTGTATCAGTGCATCCCTAATATGTACACTTTAATATAATTGTACGTAAATTGTATGCGATTCCACCTTTGACAAAGGCGCCAGTTTTCAGAGTAATGTAAACACTTTTATTCTGGTTTTTATGTCTGAAAATGTATAAAAAGGGCAAATGTTCCAGCTCTGAAGATTGCTTCTCGTAATCTTAACAAGGTGTAGGGTCTTCACTCTCTGGAAGAACTCTCAAAAAATTCTCACATCTCCCGTTTCCTCCCAGATATCTTTATACGTCCACCGACCCCAACCCATAATCCAGCATGAAGGAGCTCAGTGAAGGTGGTGGTGAAGGTGTGTAAGTGTCGGATCGGGTCACACAGATCATAGAAGGACAGCTGTCCGGCCTCATAATCCAGATAGATCCTGACTCTGTTACTGGAGATATTGTCAGATAGCCGGATTTGATTTCTGTCATGTATTACTATACACTCATTGTTAGACTTGCACAAGGCCCATGACTTCTTATTATGTCCAATTCCTGACTGGTCTCCTCTCCTGTCCATACTGGGATAACACATCCCGACTCTCCAGAGGTTTGCTTTCCTGACATCCACTTCCCAGTAATGTCGCCCTGAGAAAAATCTCCCGCTGCTTAATACCTGAAAATAATTCTGAAATCTCTCTGGTGTTTCTGGACGATTCCACTTTGTACCTAGGGTTGCCACCTTTTCTTCAAGTGAAACCCGAACACTCTAGCGACGTGCGGACATTTTTTCTTGGGAGAATGAGTCGTGGCTTATTCATATGTAAATAGCGCCGCCCATTCATGTGTAAATATCACAGTTGAGACTTTTTTAGTGGGCGGCCATAAGCCCTTATCTTAATTTTGATTGCCCGCCGTCTGCCTGACATCATGTGTCCGGGTTTCAGCTGCCATGAAACCCGGACACAGCATTCAAAACCCGGACTGTCCGGGTGAATCCTGGACAGGTGGCAACCCTATTTGTACCTGACCAGAATACAGTTTTCATGTCCTCTGAGATCTGTAGGTTAATTTGAGCTGTGTTTACATCCAGTACTATATCTGAAGCTTCCTGTATATTGAAGCAGACATTTACCCCTTTCATTATATCAGATAACCCCGAGTGTAATGTGTGTGAGATTCCAGCCACATCCAGATCCCCTCCATCATGGAGGAGTTCATCATGTCTCTCTCTGTCCTCATCATCTCCCTCCTCAGTATCACACAAGTCCCCTGTGTCTGATTCCTGTAAGACAGTCAGTGGGTCAGTCATGTTACACATCTCCTCAATGTGATCCATCTTCCTGGACAGCTCGGCCTTCTTTATTTCCAGCTTCTGGATCAGGTCAGACAATGGATGTGAGAGCCGCTCTTCCTGCCTGGAGATCTCCCTCAGGACTCTCTTCTCCAGGTCTTCCAGATGTCTCCTGAGGTCTCTGAACAGGGCAGTGACTCTCTCTGTTACACCGGCTGATTTTTCTTGTACTTTTCTCCTGCGTTCCTGCAGACTCTGGACTCTTTTCTCAGTCTCCTCTCTCTCCGTGATCAGTTTCTGAAGATAATTTCTAAATTTCGGTTTCTTCTTCTCAGAGGCCTCATCCAGAGTCTCCACCTTGTGTCCCTGGTGTTCTCCAGCCAAACTGCAGGACACACAGATACAGGCAGCATCTGCAGTGCAGTAATATTTAAGTAGTTCTCTATGGACGGAGCATTTTCTCTTCTCCATGGAAGTGGTGGGTTCAGTTAAGACGTGTTCTGGTGCCTTGCTGTGGACTCTCAGGTGATCATCACACAGAGAAGCTTCACAATGCAGACAAGACTTAACAGCAGGTACAGGAGAGTGAATACAGTAAGTACAGAAGATCCCAGTT